GCCCCCCCCCCCCCCCCCCGGGCGCACCCCTTCGCTGAGGACCCGGCGCCGAAGATGGCAGGAAGCCTGGACTAGAGAAGAGGGACGCGGACCTCGGGCACCCAGGAAGCGGGGGAAGCGCAGCTGACTTTTCTGGGCAAAGGTGAGTCGACGCGGGTGTTATTATGCATCCACCATGGCACAAGGTTGTGAGGTAAAGCCACACCGTAACGTTTTGCATAGTCAAGGAAGTGTCTGCGTGTTTGTATCTGGGAACGAGAATGTAGCTTGCAAACCATCACTTTGGAAGATGTTAAAATAACAGAGGTCGGGGGGGGGGGGGAAAAAGGCAGAATTTGTTCCGAATTATATATGCGGCACACCAGATCCCTGCCCCAAAGCTGAAGAGGTCCAGGTAGGCCCTAAGGAATGCTCTCTTGACAAGTGAGTTGCGGGGGAGGGACGTCTGAATACCTTCCTTTTTTATTTGCGGGGTTTTTTGGGGGGGGAACTGCTTTTGGTAAAAAAAAAAGATGTTTATGGAACAAGGGGATCCTGTCTGCTTTCTCCTCTGCCTTTCTACCAGCTTGTTCTACCAGTTTTGTGAGATAGCCCACAAACTTACAATAATGGAGGAACTTTATTTTTAAGTTGGTGAAATCATATTCTTATAACCGCAGATTTAGCAGCACTCTGCTGGCTGGATAGTTATGTACAGTATACTGATACAAATTCTTCTGAGATACAAGTCTTGCGGGAGAGAAGCTTTTTGAAATGTTGCCTGGTGTTATACCTTTGCAACTAATCATGGAATTGTTAGACAAGTGGGGCAGTTGGATATAATTGGCCCTCACCTTTAATGAGTGTAATTTGGTGCTTATGTTCAACAGCAGGGCTGTTCTTCCATGCTGAGTAACTGCATGGAAGTGTAAACAGAAAGCAACGAGTCTTCCTTTCCTCACTCGCCAATTCAGACTTAAGGTGGAAGGTTCTACAGAAGAGCATATCATACTTCATGTTTGATACGCTGGTACAAAATAAATGTACAAGGTGTCATTTACACATAGCATGCTTATATAAACTGTGGCTTTTGCCCTTCACATATGTTATGGGTGGCTCTGTACACTCATACAGATACCCAGTGTGATGTAGTGGATAGGATGATGGACTAGGACTCATGAGACCTAGATTAAAATTCCAAACCAGCCATGGAAGCTCACTGGGATGTGTGGAAGGGGTAAAGCCACTCTTTAAATATATCACTTACCTTGAAACCCTATTAGGGTCACTATAAGTTTGTTCCAACCTGACAAATTCACACATACAAACCACTACTTGTATATGAGGAGGCTGTTCAGAAATTACTAATCAGTGGTGCAGTAAATTTGCATCCTGGTCTCAATAATCTTATTGGTACCTAATTTAGATGACCACACAATTGACATTTATCTTCTGCAATCCATCCCTACCTAACTCAGTGCTTCACAATTGCTTCTACATTCCTGACATGTTAGAAAGCAAAACAAACAAACAGACAGTTTGTGGATCCTCCAAAAAGAAGAAGTAGCTCTGCACAGGCATGATTTACATTTGAAATTTATCTAAATCATGAATTAGCTTCTGCTGTTTTATTCAGGAATAAGTGGCATTATTTTAAAAAAAAGAAAGAACTAGGATGTATTAAAATCAAACAGAATAGGAAGAGCATGAAACTGCCCATTTAATTGCCTTGTAACTATAACCTGTTTTGTTTGGGTTTTTTAAAGTTAGAAGAAAATATGTTCAGTGAGCAGTATCAATCCTGATGGGCTTGAACATGCCCATCCCAGCCCAGTTGCTGACGCTAGGTCTGTTTACCCCGTCCTTGCCGTCTATTGCTCTTTGCATAGTAATTCCCTCCCCCTCCCCCTCCCCCCCCACTGGGTCCTAGATCTGGGCTTGAGGCCCAGCCTTAGCTCCATCACTGATATTAATTACAGGATTTGGGGAGTATCCACTCATGTATGGAAGTAAAAGATAACAAATAACTCTGAGGAATAGCAAAAAAAAAAAAGAAAGTTTATTTTCAAAGCAGGCAGACATCACCCAGAATCTTTTGCAAAATCATTTTTTAAAAGCCCCATTCTGTTAGTCCAGCTGAAAAAAATGTTTTCAAAATCACAACAATATTTCAAGTCTTCAGTTACATTCTCCATATCCAAATTAAATGTCTGTTGCATATTTTAGATCCATATGCTGCCATGTAACGAAGATTTACATTTATCTAAATTTCTGATTTTCCAGTATGCTCAGAATGTTTGCAGAAGCAATGTTCTCCTGTATTAATGTGATCTAGTTCTTTGATTGTCTAGAGGAAAAGATGATCCATTTAAATTTCCCAGCTGCATATCCCTTTTTTAGGTTAAAGGGACATGTTATGCAAGAAGAGATTGAAGTCTATTGACGTTGCTATGTTAGGGAATATCAAAAGCCCTTTCATATGATCCAGTAGGGGTGGGATATGTGTGGCTGTTAGAATTTTGCTAGAGAACAGCCACCAGGATGCTAGCCTAGACCATGAGTCCAGCAACATCTAGAGAGCCACACATTTTCTATCCCTGTGGAACAGCACTAGTAGTGAAAGCACTACCCAATAGTTTCTTCTCTTGGTCATGTTTGGAAGCCAGAACTATAGAGACAGGGGCAGTCTTGCCTTTCTTTTCTATCAAATTGTATTTAATGAATCCAGGAGGGAGGTGAGAAAGGAATAGTAGAGGAATCCAAATATTCCTGTGGACAAAACAAAAACAAAATCTCATAGGAAACATTACATGTGCTCCTTTGATCACACAATGAGTGTGCCCTGTGGTGAATAAAGGTGGCCATCTCATCTTTGTCAACAGGTAAGAAATTTCTCTTTACCATTTGGCAAGAAGGTGACAAACAAGGGACGTATAGAGGAGTTACAGGCACCATGTGGAAATGTAGTACCTACAGCATAGACATCTATCATACAGATTTATTATATTTAACTTGTTTAAAATATGTGTTGTCAGGTTGGAACCAACTTGTAGAAGGATTTGAGGGAATCTCTAAACAGGAAATGCTATTATATTAAAAAGGTAGCTACAGATCTTAGACAGTAATAAACATTGTTAGGTATTGGAACAGTTTTGACTGGCTGAGACTTAAAGTTTTTGTTCTGATACCAACATTAAGGATGGAGCCACCATGTCCTGAAAATGCAGCAGTTGCATAATTAAGGTTTGAGGCCTTTGGGCCAATAGAAACACAATCATGAAATTGTGAAAAGTGTGAAAGAATCCACCACAGATGCATTCTCAAGAAGTTGGGTCCCCCAGGTTAATTCACTTCCGTCAATCACATAGGAGTTAGCAGAGAGAGGAGGAAATTGGCATTCTGTCTTCTTCTTCTTCTTCTTCTTCGTCTTCGTCTTCGTCTTCGTCTTCGTCTTCGTCTTCGTCTTCGTCTTCGTCTTCGTCTTCGTCTTCGTCTTCGTCTTCGTCTTCGTCTTCGTCTTCGTCTTCGTCTTCGTCTTCGTCTTCGTCTTCGTCTTCGTCTTCTTCGGCCGGTTTGTTGAGGCTTTGGCCATCCAGATTTGCAGGAGGCACAGTTACAAAAAGGGTACCTTGAAAGCTAGAAATAAGGCTGATTGTTAACCTCTTTCTCTTTGCCCACCCCTTGATGCTTTTTCTCCCTTCGCTCACAGAGCTGTCCTAGCCCTAGGGCAGCAAGTCTGTAAAAGAAAAGAAAGAGAAAAGAACGAAAAGAAACAGAGTGGGGAGGGAAGGGGAAAACAAGCAGACTTCTGCATCAGGTTTGGATACAAGAGTTTCCTCACTGCTCAATGCTGCTGGAGCTGGCTGGAAAGGTTTCGGATATAATGTCTACAACTTCCTCCAGGTTGGCTTGAACAATCACAGAGTCTGAACCAATGCAAATGGGTTAACTGTAAAAGAAAGAAAGAAGAGAAGCCCCAGGGAGGACGGGACTCTGAGCTGATTTGCATGTGTCATGTAGTCAATGGAAAATAATGAAAATCTGATGGGACTCTGAGCTGATTTGCATGTGTCATATAGTCAGTGGAAAATAATGAAAATCTGACCATCCCAATTTGGAGCATTTTTTGCTGCGTTATTTTTCAATATGTAGTCAACCCCAGAGTCTGGAAGAGTCAAAGTAGTTAGTTGGTTCTGGACTTTGATAAACCACAGTTCTTCACCTCAGTACCTCTTCTGTGAAATGAAAGTGTTAGCGGCCTTCCAGTATTTCTGCAAGGCTTGGTGAAACAAGGATTGTACAGCTGTTTACATGTAAGAAATATGACAGGAAATGTGATATGACTAATAATTATGGGGATTGTATATGAATGTCTGTATTCTTACCCTAACAAAATGATGAATATTTTCCTTATTTTACAAAGTAATAAATCCTGACATTTCAAATGATTATTTGAGATCTTTCCTTGTTTGTGTCAGAAAGACCGGAATACGATTTATATATATATATATTGTCCAGTAATGAGCAACATGAAGAGCATGTGGGTTAGCTAACATCTAGTCTTCCATAATACATGTTGAACAGCATATAGCACACTGGCATAGGTTTGAAGTTGCCTGTTCTCTGCACTCACAAGGGGCTTTGTCAGTGCAACCCCCAGTTTTCTTAGTTTAATTTTGGTTTAGTCAACTGCAGTACGGTTGGTTATTAAGTGACTTCAAAGCAACTGAATTCTCCATGTAATTGGGGGCTAAACTTTCCTGGAGTTTCTTCCATTTTAAGAAGTTGGTAGTTCTTTATTTCCATGTTGTAGTCCTAGCATTCTTCAATGTTCCTTCGAGATTTACAGATTATTTTTTGGGGGGGAATCCTGAATTTTAATCTGGGAGGGGTGGGATGGTATCAGAAGAATGGATGAGCATTTGATGTAGATGCTTTGTCTTTCATTATCATCTGCTACCTCTGTCTGCATGTCACTGGGTGCAATTACTGCTAAGTAATTGATTTTATCAACAGGGCTTAGCTTCAGGCCTCCAGTAATGAGCTTTCATTAAATGCTGCATCTATCTCTTTTGCGTGGACCTACCAGACTAGCTAGCACATTTGGCTACAGAAAAGCATATGGCCAAGGCTTAGTTCTTAATTTTTTTGGTTATGTGCCCC